AGGTGCTCGCTGAGGCCCACGGGCTTTCTGTCAGGCTGGACCCGCGCGGGGTGACCCCTGAGGCAGCAGGTTGAGGGAGGTTGTGTTCCCCTCTTGGTGGGGCCTGTACCCGCCTTGGGTGCCAGGCTAGCTGAGTGCTGTTACAGGTGCACTGGTGAGTGGATTTTGTGGCTTTTGTTGCTGTGTCTAGGCTCCTGTGATGCCACAGTTAAGGTCAAGGAAAGTGGTAACTGCCAGTGAGGTGAAGTCGGCCGACAGTATGGTCACCAGCCCGAGTTCTCTGGGCGTGGGAGTAGGATGTCAGCTAGGGAAGAAGCCGGTAGTCAAGCAGAGTCCTCACCTGGCACCAGAGAGAAAACCTGAGCAGCCCTTATCTTCTTGTTTCCGACCTGTCATGCTGTCTAGTATTTCCTCTGAGCAGTTTGCTCCTTGTGTGTCTAGTCGGAAGGAGCAAAGTGGAAGTAGCCAGAGATTCTCAGGTAAAAAAACCAAGGGGATGCAGTGTAGGAGGGCTGCCAGAAGCAAGAAGAGTGTAGCTCTGCCGATTTCAGACACTGCTGTATGTGAAGATGGGCAGGCAGCAACCATGGCTGCAGCAGCATGCTGGGAAGAGACTGTAAGGAGAGGGACAGGACAAGGTCAACAGCAGTTTTTCTCAGGAACTTCTTTGCAAAATAAATTCTCAGACAGGATTGAAAGGAAAGAACATGGCGCAGAAGGACTGAACCTCTCAGGTTTCCAGGAGAGTTCAGGGAGCTCAGGAAAAAAAGGCAAATATTCCTTTATGGAAATAGAACTAAAAATCCCATCCTCAGAGGAGGAAATTGAGAGCACAGAGGGATATGGTATTTCCTGTTTGCCAGATCCAGAGGTGCTACAACCCAAAAAAGGCACTTGTAGTACTGAAATGAAAAGCACTGACTCCGCAGTGATACTGAAGATGCAAATCCCAGCTATTAAGAAGAATTTGGGGACTTGGGAATCCTTGGCTGAACCAAAACCTCGGGAAGAGGTTTTATTAGAGAGGTTGGATGGGTGTTCCTTAGATGGATCAAGAAAGCCAGGGAAACAGAAGAAAAGAAATAGATGCTTGAGCAAGAAAGGCAGGACATCTTTGATGAAACCGAAACTACAAGGTCCTAGAGAGAGGGGTGGATCTGCCTTGTCAGAACAGCCTACACAGTGTCCGGAGTCTAAGAAAGGAGCTGTGAGTCTGAGGAAAAGGGGCAGAAACTCACTGGTGTCACAGCAGCTACAGGGTCTAAGTGGCCAAGAAAAGCCAACAACCAAAGGAGACATGCACAAGTGTTGCACGAAAGAAGAGCAGCAGAGCTCAACCCCTTGGGAAGGAGCAGACAGCCCCGGGGAAAGCGGTAAGTACATGTACCCCATTGTAGAAGTGCAGGTGCAGAATTTGCACTCCTGGGACAAGGGACTGGTGCTGCAGTAGGACTCCATTAGAAAGTGGAAAAAATAGGAGATAATTTTTCTTTTGCAGATGTGTCTGCGTGGGACAAGACAGTCTTGGGGGCAGGAAAGGGTGGCCTGTACCCCATCTCAAAGTAACTCTTACTGTGTGGCTGCTAACTTAGCTCAAGAAGTGTAGAGATAGGAGCTAGGGTCTACTTTACAGTGCTGTGAATACTAGTCTTGGAAGAAAACAGGTTTTTAGGAAGAGGAAAGGCTTTTCTTGAAGGACAAAACCAGTTCTTTAGCATAAAGAAGAGACCAGATACCCTTTTGGGGGATAGGGGGGGGAATGGCTATCAGCAGCAGCAGGCCCTGAGTGAGAAATTTTTTTTTTCCTCTCAAAAACAGTCTGTTCATTTATGCTTAAAAGGTCAGGCACAATCAAGAAAGGAGGCAGTACTTTCAGCAAAGCCAAAATGAAAGATATTCTTAATTCATCTGTATTGTTTTTGAGTATGTGTCATGCTGTTTTGTTTTAGCACTTGCCTTTATAGAATGCTAGCTTTTGTTTTCAGAATTTCTTATTAGTTGGTATTCTCAGCAAAGTCCTAAACTATGTAGAAACAAAGATTGTATTTTGGTGTTTTAAGAGAGCATTGTACCACACTTGAACAATTTTGAAAGATGATTTTTAAAAGTCTACTTTTTTTCAGGACAATTGTCTGAAAGACTGTTTTTTTTACTTTCAAAGTGGGTACATTTAAAGGACAAATCTGTAGGTTATTTTTAATAAATATTTTATGTAGAAACCACATTCTGAAAAACTGATCAATTAAATTTTTATATTCCTTTGAAAACTAAGATCATAAAACCCCCAACATTCTAATAGTACATTCCTGAGCCCATTCTCCAGATGAAATTTTCAGATATATCATTGTTTACATAATCTGTATTTGCTCTTAAATAAAAAACAGTACTTTTGTAAAAGTGCGAGTCCTGCAGTTTTCCTGGACATTCTTCAACAGTCTGACACATTTGGTTGGAGTAAATATCTGAAATAAATTACTATATTATTTTGAACACGCTTTCCTATCACAGAGAATCTAGTGTGTAAACAAAATATTTTAAGGCTGGGGGTGCAAGCAGCATCTGCATTTTTTTGCCAGACTTGCTCTAATTTGGTTTCCACCTATGCTTTAAATATATAACTGCTAGAGTCCTTATGACACCTTAAGGTTCTGTTCATCTTCACATTTGTTTTTGAAGACAGTACATCATTTCTTAATGTAAGTGTGCTAATAGTGCTCATTTTAAAAAAGAAAATTGGTAAAACTTTACAGAAATGTTTTAACCTTGTACAGTGTAGTGTTCTTGAGTAGCCTTGCATGTTTTTTGTTCTCTTTATAAAATATTGCAATAGTCTTCTTCTCTTAGCATGTTCTTTAATTACACTTCTTTTTTTTTTTTAATCAGCAAAGGAAAAATGGAAAGCGATTGAGCAAGACTCCAGTACACAGGCTGTGAAGAAGCTTAAGAGAAATCGGAACAGATCAGAAGATTCCAAGGAAAAGGAACCTCACTACTCTAAGTCTCCTATGGCTGCTATTCCAGGTGGGATCCAAAGCAATAGCTTTCTATGCCATCCTGTAAGAAAAAAGCCTGGTGTGCAGTATAAAAAAAGGAAACACAGAATTGATCAGATCAAATGCCTGCAAAGTTTTAATGCAACTACAGCTGAAAAAGTGAGAAATGTATCTGCAAAATGTGATGCTGGACGTTGCAAAAACACCCTAAAGCATTGTAATGACTTGCGCTGTGCAACAGAAAAGAATCCGTTTGTGAGATTAGAGTCCTGTAGTTACATCAATACATTTGTAAGGTCTTCAGCTGGTGGAGCTACCAGCAGTTATAAAGTAAGTAGATTCTTCCATGTAGCCCAGGATAAAAGAAAACATGTTTTTCCTGATGGTACTATAGAACAGAGTGAGAGGAATGGCAGCACTAGTAGAATGCAAATTGAGAGATCACCCATAAAAGGTGGTTTATTGTTCAGTAAAGAAGCAAAAACTCAAAACAGAGAAGGGTGTTTTTCATGCTGTCAGAGTGAAAACAATAAGTGTTTAGGGGGAAAGAAGGGGAGTATTGGTAGAAAGCCTAGAAAAAAGATGAAAATCACAGAGAAATCAGCAGTGCAGAATATTTGCACAGACGTGGCTAATGAATGCAGTGAGTGTAAGTTACAAACAGAAGCGGCAGTTGCCATGTCAAGCTCCTTTGCAGTCTTAGGACTAAATCATAAAGAAATTACTCTGTCAACTTCATGTGATCATACATCAAATCTTCATATAGGAAAAAATACTCATGAAGCACAAAATACATCAGTCGGGAGAAAGAGTAGTACGAAATTACTTGCATTTGAAGATGGCTTTAAGAAGACGTCTGGGCTCTCTGTAATAGCAAAAGGAGAAGATTCAAACACTGTGGTACATCATTCTGCTCCCTCAGGTTGCCTGAGTGTGCTAGCTGATGTCCATGATGTTTCTAATTGTCAGAAAAGTAAGAGAGATGAAAAATTGAACAAAATTAATAAGAAATTGCAGCAGTTTACCTGTCAAAGAACAGTACCTATGACTGGTAAAAATGTTTGGCCTTTTGAATCTTGTGCCAGGACTTCTGGATGGGTTCTTAAAAACCATGGATCTGTCTCAGAAGGAAAAAGACTTTCAAGGGCTGCCTTCAAGGAATCCTGTGATAAAAGCAGTGTTAAAGCTGAAGGAAACAGTGCTGTGACTGGGAATTTGAGACTATGTGATTTGCATATGTCATCAGCAGAAATTAACAAAGAATCTACACTTAAAGTAGTGGATACAAACACTGAATGTCTGACTGCACTTGAAACACCAGAATTCTCTTCTGTGGATATCTCCGAGACCTTGAGAATGAGCAATGAAAATGAGGAATCACCAGTTAGTATGGATCAAAGCACCGTGGCTTTTAACCATGAAGATGTGCAAGAGGTTAAAGCAACCCTGAATTTTACAACAAAACAAAAAGATAAAAATAAGGGAGCTGTAACAAAAAGAAAACTGTCTGTGTCAGTCCAGAATGGTACATCTACAGGTAACAAAAACAGAACAAACATCGGCTGTAAAGCTTCATCAGTGAAACAGACATTTTCTGATTTAAAGCTAATGAAAGTGTTTAACACTGGCAATCTGACAAAATTCAAAATTCCTTTATGCAGAAACAAATGTGAATCCAGGAAACTGGAATCTGTCCGTTCATTTGAAATAAAAGCCTGTAGTCCACTAGAGCTTCTTGACAGCACTAGTGTTTCAAAAAGGCAGAAAATGTGTGAAGAGACTTCTCTGGTAAATTCTGAGCAGCAGCCTCTTCCTGTTACGAGTGATGCTATGTCTACAGTTTCCACGGAGAAAAAAGTGCATGAGATCAACAGTAAGGACTTTCAGCATGATGACTCTGAAAACCTTTCAAATGAGATGTCTGCGCTCCCTGAATGTTTTTCTTTTTATCCACATTCTTTTCTTGACAGGCATGTAGAGTCATCTGTGCCTGATTTCCATGGTACTGAATGTGTACTGAAATCTAATTTTCCTGATCGTTCTTGGAATGCAGTTGACCACCCTGCTGCATTAGAAATAAGTGATGGTAGCAAATCAAGACGGAGTCTTTCACAACACAAAAGTAGAAATTTTCCAGATATTATTGAAGCATACGAAGAAGATGTTCTTGTCATTGATGTGATTCAGGATGACCCTGACCTTTTTGGAATGAATAATGAAGAGGAGCTTGCACCTGCAGACTGTGAAAGTTGTCCTGAGAAGATGTCCTGTAGTAGCATCTGCATTAAAGATGAAAAGCAGGATCAAAAGCAGGATCTTAAGCCTGAGTATCGTGTTATCTCAGAAAACAGAGATTCAGTAGATGATAATTTTAGGTATGCATATAATTCTTTTTGTTAACAATAATCCTAAGTACTTTTTTCTTGATATATTTTGGTTGTAGCAGTCAGCTTTCTTAAAGAATTTTACTAATTCCTGGGTTGATTTTAAATGTCCAGATTTGATTGAGGTATGACCATGGTCTGAATGCAACTAAATTAATTTGTTCTTCATAAGAACTAGGATAAACTGAATCAAAGCAAAATGTAGTCCTAAAGAATTCATGTAGACTAAGTGAAATTAAATATGAAAGTATAAACAAAGCTAATTATTAATAAATAGTATTTTAAAACACCTCACCTGATTTCAGATAGCAGATATCCCTTTGAGGGTGTTTTTTTAGTTGTAAAGTGGTATGATACTTAGAAATATTTTTTACTTTCTAGGTGTAGCTTATTCTTTTGCTGGATCTGTAGAACTAAACGGTTGTCTGTACAGTAGTATTCCATTCTGCCATTCTCCTTCCTTGCTTTTCTCCTATCCCCAGATGTGTGAATAGTTTTCAGATCTCTAATTTGGCAAACACATTATAGATGTTTATGATCCTGCATCTTCATTCAGCAAGTTCCTGGCATAAATTATTAGGCGTTAATGTTTTTTTCTGGGTTTTGAGGCGATACAGAAGTCACTGAGGGCAGAGGAGAAGTTTAAAGTATAAACAAACTTTTGTAAAAAGGTAGTAGTCCTTTGTGGGATAGATGAACTCGTCAACTGTCTTGTCTGTTTTCTCTCTAAGCTTTGATACTTGGGTTTGATAAATGAGTTTTAAGATTAAATTTTTCATTTTACGAAGAAAAACATAAAGCTCAGATAGAAATTGCACAAGATTTTCCTCTGAAGTTTAGTTTTCTTATTTGGAGGGGTGTTTTAATTTTCTTCCTCTGCTCTTTCTGGGTGCCTTTATGTTATCCTTGTTTTAAATAAAATTTTAATTATTTTCAACATTGTACCATCTTATAACTGCATTCATTTATTTTACTCTTTGCTCTCCTTATCCCTTCATTGAACCCATGTGCAAAAGAGGAAAGGAATCTTCTTTGAAGTGCTGAACAGTTTTTTAGACATGAGAATATAAAACTTTCTGATTTTAATAGAATAAAACTGCTAAAACAAGCCTCTGAAGATCAGGGCAAGTCTTTAGTAGGAGCAGCCAGTTCTTAAGAAGTAGCTAGGCTGTATCAAGGTAAATGTATTAGAATGAGTATTAATTTTTTGTACAGTGTATATTATATACACTGTGTAAGGGAATGTATATTCGCTGTGTATTACCCCAGGGTAATAATGGCTGTTCAGAGATGGTTTCCAACTGACTGTCCTGACAGCGGTCACACAGAATGGAAGACTGGAACTTTTGAGCCCTTTACACATATATATTTTGCTTAGGGTAGTAAAGTTTGCTATTTATATAAATACTAACTAAAAATTTTACTGGATCTTTTAAGTATTTTTTAGGGAGGACAAAGTTTCCCTTTAATTAGTAATGACACTGAGTTAGAGTAACATCACAACCATTAGATGAAAACTAAACTTGTTTGAAGTAATAGTTCAACTTTTTTCCTGGTATCTGCTGAATTTGCATGCCATCAACCAAGGAAAATAAAAATGCTTGGTTTTTACTTCTTCAAATTTCCCCTTAATTTTCTAAAGAAGGAAAAATTGTCTGGTTTTGCTTCTTATCTTTCATAATTTGATACAAATATCATTGGATGGTGACTAGCCATTGTTGGTAACAGTCAGGAATATATTAATGAACTGAATATGGGAATATTAAAATAAGGCAATAGACCTTACCACAGTTTTATCAAGTAGCTTATGGTGTCATCAGATAATGGCCGGTTCATACTGTTGGTGTTTATTTTGTTAGTATTTCCCAGTTACAACTGGGACTTCAACTTTGGCCAGCCAAAACAGTTGGTTATGCTGGTAGGGTTACATTTACATCATACTATATATTTTAAAATAAAATATTGTTTCTGTTAATGTCCTCTTTTTTTTTTTCTTTAGAGATGTTCTAGAGTATTGTCTGTGTTTTCTTCTTTGGCTTCTTATTTTATAAATACAAGTTTTGCTTCCTGAGAGCATGTGTCCTTAAAAAGCAGAACATGCTGGTCACAACAGTGATTGAGGTTCAGAATTCAAATAAGGCTTGTTTTTTGCTGTTTGTTTGGGTTTTTTTAAGCAAACAAACAAAGGACCCAACAACTAAAGAGGCACCTAACATTGCCACACGTCTCTGACTTAAAGTTTCCAAACTATTGTAGTTGTGCTTGTGCATATGCCCAGAACTGACATCTCTGACCGAGTAGGTTTAAGTAGGACAAGCAGGTCCTGGCTCTTAAGCCAGGAAGGTTCAGAAAAGCCTGGGTGTGTGTATGTCCTGAATTACTGGATGCAGTTAGCGTGCTATGACCTTTAGGATAAGTAGGACTGCTTACTCCTCTGGTGGTTCCATTTTAAGAAGAGAAGAGTGAGTGCTGGGCACTTCCAGGCATTAGCTGCCAGTCATCAGGAATGGATTCTGGACATGCAGCCCGAAGGGGGCAGGGAAGCTCAGTTTTCACGTTTCTGCCATTTTCTATTGCCTACCCCTAAGTGACTCCCAACAGTGACGTTTTTTGAATCAGTCATCTGAGGTTATTTCTTTCCTCTCATGTAGGGAACCTAGACACTTAACTTTTAAGTGGCATCAAGTATCTCTGTTCATCCCAATAGAACTAGTAGGTTCAGTGAATACCTTTGAAAGCGCATCAGCAGCCATTCTTGCTCTTACGAGACTTCTGTATTTTACTGTTTTCTTTTTGAATAAAAAGCCTAAATGTGAATCCATTTTCCATATGCAAAATAGCAAACCAAACACTGTGGTTTGTGTAACTTGTGCTGTAAAGAGAGATTTGTTTGAACTTAATCAGCACCAGCATGGAAGAGGATCCCACATTCTGACATTGTCTAGTTTGTCCCCATTTCTAGATCTCTAAAATGTGTTTTGTCAGCGCTCCTGGATTTGTCAGGCTGGTGAGCAAATGCCAAGTATTGTAATAAATGTAGTTTTCTGTATGTATTTTAAGCACCTTTTTTACAAGAACTTATGCAGTGCTTCTGTAACAATTTCACACTACACAATTAGCAGAATCTGGTAAAGACCTAGAAGTGGCTTTTGACCTGAATGTGAAGATTTTAGTCTCTTGATGCTGTTAAATATTTTCAGTTTTAAGCCATGTTTATGAAGATGACAGCTTTCTGGAACTGTCTGCACTGTAATTTTACAAAAAAGAAAGTCAGTTGTTATAAGCAAAATCACTCAAACTTCGCATTTCACATAAAATGTGGGTAAGAGGAAATAAACCTACAGAGAGCCTGCCTCTAATAAAAGTCCCTCTCCTCTCTGTAAACTTGCTGTAACTTATTAAACTTTGCTTCTTAATGTATCTTGTGTATATACATAGATATCTGTGCCTGGATGTTTGTATAGTTCCAAATTATGCTACTGGGGAACTTTTTAGTTTCCACTAGGCTGTTGCAAATTTTCATTATTCCATTTTACTAGAAAGCTTTCTGTGTTTATACTTGGTGTCATTGACCAGGTACGAGCTTCCAAAATCTGTGATGATGATGTTTTATATATTCTATATATATAATATTTTAATATGTATTTTTACCTTGTGAGCTTTTTCCAAAGAGAAATACTTTTTTTTTTTTTTTCCCCAACTTACCTTTGAAATAGGTGAAGTATCTTTCTAGGAACAAATGTTTTTGTTACTCTCTTTGATATTCATAGTTATGCAAATTTTCTTGAATATAAAATTAATATATATCACATTTTGTAGAAATTGATTAATTGGCTCATTAGCACTGTATTTCCATAATTTGCTATACAGAGAAGATTTCCCTTCTCAGTATTATAGACAAAGGTGAAATGAGATAATGAGCTTTTATTGACAAATTTTGAGATTTGAAATGTCTTAATTTTGCCTAATATGTTTAGGTGTATAGCTGTACAGATGGACGTAAGAAAGCCAAAAGAGAGAGTTAAGAACAGTCTTACAACAGTGTGTTGTACATAAGAATTCTGTCCACAGCTGAAAGTGTTACTGAGAACTTTAATTTTACATAACTGGTTAGATTAATTCTGCTTTTGTGCAAGGTGGAAATCTTAAATACTCTTTTTGTTCAAAACAGACACATCAGACACATTACCATACAAGAATCTGGAATGTCAAATGATACTGAAAATTCCTATGATTGGGTGCTAAAAGGTAAGAGTCCCTGCTCCGGCAGGGGGATTGGACTGGATGATCTTTCGAGGTCCCTTCCAATCTCTAACATTCTGTGATTTGGAGATTTTTTGAATGTATAATCAAGAAAAGAAAGTAACCACAAAGATACTCAGTGACAAAACCTAGGCTTTCTACTTTCCAATAAAATGACGACTTGTCGGTTCGGTAGTGTCTTTTTATTACAACAGTGATTTGTTTCCTATTGAGTATAAAGTAGATGCCTTCTGAAATGGTACAAACCTGAGCCTTTCAGGGAACCTCTGCTTTTCTGTAGTTCTTGTCTGTTGGTAGTACTGGGTTGTTTTTTTTGTTTTGTTTCGGTTGTGGGGGTTTTTTTTGACATCTCTCTGATACTTTAGGCAAGGAATTATGTTAGTTGATGAGATGATAGTAAGACAGTGACGTACTGTGATACTGCTTTGGAGTCTGACTCATGAGCTCACTTGTTTTTTCTCTTGTGTTCATCAGCAGACTGAATTTTATATCATTTTTTTCCTGGTTGTACTTTTGGTTTTTGCAGGTGCTATGCCCATTCCTCTGACAACTGTTTTGATTTTTAAGGATGCTTTTTTTCTTTTTTAGAGAGAAAGATACTTCTGACTTCATGCTTTTTCTTCCTATTTTAAGCAGAACAGTCCAGCTAGGCAGCATCTAAATGTGATTTGTTTTGTTTTCTACAGCTTGCATACCAACCTACCATGCAAGGTATGTCTAATGTGGAAGTTTCTCGTAGGGTAGAGGAACAGAATTTTGACTTTGAACAGAAGCCCATAACTGACACATTCGAGAAGACACAGAGTGCAGAGACTGGTTTTGAAGGTTCTCAGTGTTTCCGTTTATGGTGTCCATTTGGCAGCTTGCTGTTAATCTGGTTCTCTGCCATGATGTGTTGATTTTGCTGCAGGCTTGAAGAGTGCCTGTGACAGTACCTCTTGTGCTGTTTTTTTCATATTACTATGTTATGTTGATGTAGAAAGAGTGAGTGGTTTGGGCAGGTGTAGCCTATTGGAGAAAAGGGAGTGAATAGCGACTGTTTGGGGGAGGCTGTTTGAGTTTCAGGCTTCAGTGATTAGAAGGCAAAATAAGAGATAATGAGTGTTTAAGAGCTCAGACACCAAGAAATAGACACAAGTTCCCTGAGGAGGAGTAGGGAGGAAGTACACAGTTAGGCCTCTGGTGAGTTAAAGAGACAGCGGAGCCTGTGCCATGGCATCTACAGTACTGAGGTGATTGACACCAAACCTGGGAGCAAGTCCTGTACTATTTAGTAGCTTCTGCATTTCCTTAGGCTGTTTGTTGTTTTACTTTGTGTTCTAACAAAGTTTGAGACTAAAAGTCTTTGGGTCTTTTTGTGGTGCTTAAAATAAAGAAGAAGATTTAAGTAGGTCCTTCTTACCAGATCTGAGAAACTTAGGATCACATCACACTGAGATCAATACGCACATGGTAACTTATGTTTGATCTATGACTTTTTAAAACAGAATTTTACAGAACAAAAGAAAGGTGCCTGGTTTTGGTAATTACTGGTGATTTATGTATTTATTTAGAAATATGTATTACTGCTTTGGTGCCTTGTGCTATGTAGTGAGGCATGGCTGCTTGTCTCTGTGGCTTCACAGTCTAAGAAGGGCAACAAACACTACAGTTAAGATATTCTGGATTACATCAATCCTCTTCATCTTTCAAGTGGAAATGTTATGTACATTGTCTTCAAGCAGATATGTCTTGTGCTGATGATCATATGAAGACCAGTGACTATAAGATAAAAGCTTTTCCAATAATAATCTGATTCTTTCTTCCTGTGTCTGGACCACGCAGTGCAGTTGAAATTGATTCAGGTGATCCAATGAAATAGTGAATTCCTTTTCTAAGCGGAGCTTTTCTGTTGTACATCCAACTGCAGATTTCTGAAACAGCTGTTTGTGTTCTGTTCATTTCCTGTGCATCTGCAAAAGGTGCTGAAATTTCCTGACACTGAATTCTCATTGAGTTTATTATATTACAGGAGTTTGGAGTTTCTCAGAGCTATCTATATTTAGTTCAGGGTTCCATCATGTAATTACAATTAACTTACCTCCTTCTCTATCAAAGACTAAGTCTTTATTTGCTTAGCAAATTACCATACATATCTTTGGTTGTGTTTTACTAACAAAGCTTAACTGAATTTCTTTTTAAAGTATTCAATTAAATATAATGTAAATAAACCTGTTGTACTGTTCTACAGGGTCTATTACAGAACATACAGCTTGGATAGAACTTAAATTGCAGATTCAGTTTAATATTTATTTGAAATGGTTTGTGCTTTAAAGGTGAAATAATTTTACATATAAATTTCACATTTAGGCAGTCCTTGGCGTTCTTAAATGTCATTAGTATTAAGGAAATAGTATTTGCATTTAGGAAATAAAAGCTTTTTTGTCTTGTAGCATGGGAAGCATGTGAAGTGATGTGTTTATACATTTGTAGCTAAAGATGCTAAAACGCACGACTCCTCCAGAGGAAGCAGTCCTTTGAGAGGTGTTACTGAGGACTTCCGTGACGATGGGCAGCTAAGAGAACTAGATGAGCTTTTAAAGAGTTTTGCCAGGGATGAAAAGGTACTGACAAATCATGCTTTCTGTCACTAAATAGTTTAAGAAATTATAGTCCAAGTAATTGGGTAATTTTAATTACGAATGTTGTTTTATCAACAATTTTTTAAATTTCCTGCAATTAAAAAAATAATGTTTCATAGATTACTTAGTTACAAGGTAAAATTTGCTTGACAGAGCTTGTTTTTTTTTATCATCAGTAGTAATTCATCTTCAAATTTAAATGAAACAAGATATTGCTGTATCAGTTGTTATGGTAATTCTGTATTACCAACTGCATGAAAATTACTGTTCCAGTGAACACCTAAGAGTGCTACTGTGCATATGTGACATTTTTGCATAACATATATAGCTTTAAAAGTTGATGTTAAATGCTTCTCACCACACAGTCTCAAGGATAGGTGGTGCTGGGGAGCTGCACGGCCATCATACATCCGAGGAGGATCAGGGATGGATAAGTACTTGGGCAGAAGGGCTGTTACGTTGAACTACTGACTTTCTGGCAGTTCAGAGGGAATGTTAAGACCTTTTCATGCTCACTGACTTTATCTCACCTTTCTACTCTCTTTGTCCTCCTTCCTCTAGATAGTAAGTCTAGGTATTTTAAGACTTGCTGAAGTTTTATACTATTTATTTATTTGATAATGGATTGGAATTTACATCTCACTGCCACTCAAGACATAGCTGCTGGTAACATTTACTGTTTTCCACTACTTCAAGAGTGGATAATAGTTTTAACTAGATAAGTTAAACTGTAAAATTCATATGGCTAAAAACTGGTAACATAATCAAACAGTAGGGAATTGGTTTCCATGGCAAAATCATTATTTAAAAGCAGAACAGAAACGTTTCCTTCAGCAAATGGAATTGGGGCTGCTAGCATCTGATTCACAAAGTGAACAGTGCCATTGTGTTCCCTGATCTCTTAGAGAGGATAGTAGTAGTAGGTTACTGGAGGTGTAGTACTTGTTGCAGTATTGCCAGGTCAGTCCTAGTTGGGCTACTTCATAGTGCTTTGGCTTGATAAAATTAGTGTCCTAATGTTTGCTTTTCTGTGCTGTGTTGGACAACAGTAAATATGTGCAATGAATCTTACCCAAACCTCAAACTTAACCAAACCTAAGCCACTAAATACATGCTACAGCCCTAAACCTATTCCTGTATGTGGATGGAACAGCAGAACACTTGTTGCAAGTATTCTACCGTTTGGGCTGATTTTGGGGGTTTGGTTTTTTGATGGCTGTTCCAACTAATAATGCTGCGAGGACAAAAACTAACCCTGGAGAAAACACTAAAAATATTTGGGGAACTGGTAGAATGAAGTTTGGAAATCTGATGAAAGCATATCCATCTCTAATTCTTTGGCTATCGTAAATGTGTGTTATAGTGTGAAGTTCAAGTTAACTTCATGAATAATGGACAAAACAAAGCCAGGATTCTGTGACTTAGTTCTCTATCAATCCTTTCAGATTCTCACCCTCAAATATCTTAGGTGCTATATTTTTTCTCCATATTTTGGGGGAATTTTTACCTGTATACCGTAGTGCACAGCTGAGCAAAAGCCTTAGATTTCCCATCAATACATCTTTAATTTTTTATTAAACTTGATGGAATGTCATTTGTGGGTTTCTAGGCATCTGTCAGGCACAGTTAAAATTGGGCAGTAGGCCTAAAATTTGCTGGGATTATCAGTGGGAGCAACGATAAGTGAAGGCAATCATGTCATCTTTTTGCAATTAAAAAAATCAGTGTTTTAAGGATCACAGAGTATAATGGCAGTGTATCCATTTAAAAAGATGGTGTAAGAGTCCAAATTACAGTTTTTATAGTCAAGATTACATTATCACACCTTCTAACAATCACTAGCAGTTTTAAGTCTGTAGTGTAAGGTGTAACAGGGTTGGTGGTGCTTTGCTGTATCTAAAAGTACGTTTTAAATATCTTTACAGTTCAGGTTTGCAGATGGAGTGCCTGATGTTAAACAAGAAAAAAACGGTGAAGCTGAAAAAAGGTATATATACTGTGTCCTTCATGTAGCTGGTGATGTTCCCCTGTTACTGTACAAATGAAATGTGATGTTTTTACCGAAACACTATCAGCACTTTAATTCAGTTTTTCTATGTTATTGTGACTATGCGATGAAGAAAATAAATTTGTGAAATAATATATATTTTCACTGTGCAAAGTACAGGACAAGTATAGTCATAGCCTGGCAGGACAACAGAGGTTATTTTGTCCTCTGGCTGGTGATGAAATTTATCCACTTTCTGCCAGTGTCTCACCTTGGCATCTCAATGTGAGTATAGCATAAGATACATTTCCAGACACAGTAGAGCTTACGAGAACTTTAAAAAAGAAAAACAAAACAAAACAGTGAAACTTTCAGCTTTCTTTTCTGCCTCTTGGGACTTTCTAAGCTGATGAAAGAATTGAAAGATCTCATTCAGATTCAGGCTGATAAATATTTTTACAGCAGTAGAAAAAGGCCCTCAAAAACACAACATGTGGAGCTAAGCACATGCTTTACTGTTCCCCTAGCTTCAAGCTGTGCTTAAAGTGTTTATTGTACATATGACTTAGAAAAAGTATACTTAACCGATGAAATACATAAGTAATTAGAAGAGAAATAACAGATATTTCAGAGTCATTTTCACAATAATCAAGAAATCTTAGCTGGAATAGAAGAGGGTATTGCTTTTTTCCAGCAGCAGTTCACCACATTTCTGTGAAGGACTTGAAATGTTCCAGAAGTCCATTAATGGAAAATAATGCATCTTTTCATTAATCCACTAGAGAGCTCCAAGCTCCTTCTCCTGGTAAAATACCCATTTAAATCTACCTTAGTAGCGTAAATAGTTCTTTATGCTATAGAATAAGTAGATTATGCTGGATAAAATATGTTTGTGCAAGTGATACTGCATTATTTCAGTTCCTCAGTTGAAATGCAGCACTCCCTGGGGTTAGAGAAAAGGCATATATTCCTTCGTTTGGAGTCACACTCTTTTCTCTAGTTTTACTCAAAAATGTTACCATTGCAAAGTTTCATCTAGAAGAAAACAATTATTGTTCTGATTTAGCAAACTCTGTTTCCAGTGATGCTGTTACTTAAGAAAATAAATTGATTGTAGAGCTATGTAGTTCACAGTTCCTGGCAAAATTTTATGTAGTTTCACGTCTAGATTAAAAAGAGAGCTGAGATTGCTATCCGGAAGGTAAACTGCTATGAAAATCCTGTTGTGACAGACCTGAGGCTGGCATCGCAAGGAAGCATAGAATAAATTTTACATGGTAACTTGAAAATTCTGAGTAGCTAGATCTGCAGATTTATTTCCTCTGGAGACCAATACAGTACATTGAGTAGAATAAAAATAAAGATTGATCTTGCAGAATTTGTGTTTATTAGGTAGAATTTGTTCTTCTCTGCTGTAGCATTTTTATTTCAAACTGCATTAAAAACAGCCTGCAATTTAAGAAATAATTGAATTATCCTGTCTATGAGAAGTATTAAATAGCTAGAACGTGCCCCTCATAGGGGATAGCAAGTCTATTTCTGTCTTAAAACAGCAAGCAGGCTGAAATGTCCTTTGTACTGCACCTAGATTCTTAGTTGGAGGGGGGAGGGGAGGAAAGCGGATTTTTTTTTTTTTTTTTTTTTTTGTGACTTTATTTACAACCAAAGAGATCACTAAGTATTTTGCTTGGAATGTTTGTGGCTTATTTTGGAAAACATCACATTTTAGTAGTTTAATTATCTGGAATGTGCCCTTTTGGGTATAGTTAAAGGCAAAACGGTCTTCGATTGGAGTTCCCTTTGAAATCATCTAAATATTCGGCCGAGTAGAGTCAGTTACTGGGAAAGAAAACAGTTGGCTTTTCAAATGTAATTTCAAAAGCTTTGTGGATTACTTCTTTGGCAGATATTATATAACAGACTACTGAAAAGTAGATGCTTCTTCAGAGGTGACAGAAATCATCTCAATCTTCTTGTCAGCATAGTGAAAAAAATAGAAATGGTTCACGGGTGCTTTCTCTACTTATTGATTGAATTTCATGTAGTTACACTTTTAAGACAGAAGAATCTGCACTAAGATCGTAATCCGATTGGACCATGCAATGAGCATAGTGAAAGTAAAGTTGTTGGGACTGATAGCTATTTAAATTTACTGCAAGTTTTTGTGCTGTGTAAATTGTTGGAGAAATTCTTGTCTTTTATACACTTAATCCCCCTTTTTATGCATTTAGTATATGGGAGAAGCACCTGTTTAATTTGATTAAAAAAAATTTTGTTTTTTAATACTCAACAGTGACTGTACATACAAAGATCTTGTGAACTGTGAATTGCTATCAGAATTGCCATTGCATGCCCCGAAAGTAAATGTCCTCAGTGAAGCTACAGTGATGAAACCCCGGACAAATGGTATTGTATGCTGCATGGGTGAACCCTCCAGAATTTATTTTTACATGTGTTTTATTTACCTATAAAATCTTAAGGAATTTCTTCAATTCCTGAAGGCTGGAATTGTTTTAGTTTGCACACATAGAAGCAAAAATGCAAGCTCTTGTATGATAGCTTAGTGAGGATTTTGGGTTGGGTTGTGTTTTTCACCAGAATCCTTTTTGGTAAGATCAAATAGCAGTCATTCTGTCTTGGTATTTATGGTTCTCAGATACTTTAATTGTACAGCAATGCCTGCATTCTTAGTATTTTGACACATTGTGTTTGAGCCACGTTATTGGCAAGTAATTTATTTTTCTTTATTTGTGGTCAGAGAATGTGACTGTAGATTTTCTTGCTTGGTTGTTATCTGTTGGCAATACTTGGCTAAGGGATTTGCCCACCTTGCTAAAGGTCAGAACTTTGTTTTATGCCAATTCAACTGTTCGTGAGGCATTCGCTAGACTGGATGAAGGAAATTAATTAGATTTAATAAACAGCACTTCATTTTGACCTGGTATATTTCACACCTGGGAAAGGTACCTCTTAAGTGTCTCTGCTGCCAGAGAAATCATCACATAATGGAACTGTAGTCGAAGTTTCCTTCTCTTTTTCTGTGGACATAACAACTCTGACATTTAGCCTTACGTAAATGCATAGTTTTATTCGGTGTACAAGACAGAGAAAAACAGGAATTGACTACGTATGGATAGATATTGCATTGTTTCTTTGCAACAGCTGTTTTGGGAATTGATGTTTTTAGAATTATTGGTTAATATGATTGTTTATGAACGTGGTTTTCCTAAATTGAGATCAGTGGTAGAAGTTCTAGCTTAGTTTCAAATTATACTGCTGGTCTGAGTTTGTGGAACGATTTTACCATGTCATTTAACAATGTTTTCAGGAAGTGCAAGAAACATAGATGCTGTGCTAGGAGAGGGCAAAAGCAAGGCATTCAAGAGCTCTTATTTCTACTTAGATATGGAGTTATCAATAGTAAAGTTCTAAAACCAAGTTTCATGGTTAAGAAACCAGTAATGTACATTGGGCTTAAGCTTTGTATTGCACTGCTTAGAACATGGAGTATGAAAGATTTTATTTCAGTTCTGGAAAAGTAGTTTAAATTTTTGGCTAGTGATGTGGGAATGCAAAGATTACTGATAAATTTTTTTTTCCTTTTGAAATTAAAACTTCTGAATATTAAATTTCCTTTCTTATCTCTGTAAGTTAGATTGGAAACCTTGGATAAAGTATTGAAGTTTTTAATATAAATGTGCTTACTCTTGAAGTAAAGTCTCAGTTTTAGGATAATAAAGAAAACTGTAACTTACATTACTGGCTTTAGAGTGTATCAATTTTTCATTAATAATTGCTGTGACTTGAAGGAACTGTAAATATAAAGGAAAATAAGATAAATGAGAGTGGTTTTAGTATGATTCATTTTATTACATGATCCATTTATTGCCCTCATCCTAATTTATAGATTACAGATTTTCAGAAAAAAGTCCTTTACTGCCGTTGCAAGATTACAGACATTTGGAGCCATGGAAGATGAAAAAAAAAGCAATTGTGAGTTGTTAAATCCTTAAAGATTTCTGATCCCTTTGTGCTAATTTTGCTATGGATATTCAGATAATTCGCCATATAACTAGTCAGAAATTATGAATCTATGTATGTTTATGTTTATGCTCCTCTAAAGATGTTATCACTGACTAAATACAATTTCTAAGAAGAAAATCAATGATAAGGGGACAGTTATTCACAGTGCAACTTTGTTAATTTCTATTTACAGCTTAAGCAAAATCTAGTAATGCTTTTTGCTGTATTGTTTTTGTAGAACTGAAAAGCAGAGGTTTCACATGTTTAAGGCAGGCTGCATTATCCATTATGCTGGGCACTGAAAAAGGGTAAAGGAAATTGATGCCCCAGAATTCTCAGACTGTTACCCAGAGCCATGCAGGAATTTATCACCTTTCTTCCTCTTCTCTACTCATTGTCCATCTCATTTAGCAGTTCTTGCATGCTCTCTGTCTGTGGTCTTCAAGACAGATTTTTGTTGTGTTAGAAACTTAACATGACATGACAAGGGATTGATCTTGGTCTGTTTTGCAATGCTGCAAATATAGTATATAGATGAGGGTTGTTTCAAAGGTTTGATTGTAGATCACGGGGGTTTTTTGTTTGTTTATAATTTGCAGGTATTTTGAAATTCTAAAAAAAACATAGCATATTTGCTTTCAAAAATATTATCTGTTGGGTTTTTTTCTGCTTGTTTTATTTTATTTCAGGCCTGTCGTTCAGTCCAGCAGATCCTTGAGATGATTCAATTGCCCCGTAAATATTGCAGACTTTATTTCATGACTTTGCGTGGGTGTGAAAGAGCGAAATGTTGGTTTTGGCATGTTCCTGAACAAGGGGATGAAAAGGTAAAGAGATTTATTAAAGAAAGGAACAGAATGTTTGTGTGAACATTTTTTAAATGCAAAGTGACATCTCTTTTGTTCATTTTATATATAGAAAGGGAGTAAATTTCAGAAATTGATGGATCAAAAAAATGTTCAGAAATTTTTCCTCTCAAAGTCTTTTAATGTTCTTTTTTAAAAACATAGTAGAATTTTGAACTAGTAGACTTTTTAAGAGAACAGGCACCAGCAAAGCAGAAAGAGTTAGGCTGTACGAATACAGAGTAGTAGAACTGGGAGATTCTGAGACATTTCTATCCCAAGCATCGGAGACCTGTAAGGAAACCCAGACTTTGTGTGTATTGTTAAAGTCAAAAGCCATCTATGCTATATTGCTTTCTGTAAGTTTTATGCTACAGGGAATGTCTGATTAAAGATGCTATAAAGTCCTTAAATGGAGTGATAATTTGCATAATATTTGCAAGCAAAAATACTTGTGCAAGGGTGGGCAGAACAGATGTGTTTTCAAACCGTTTAACAAAGAAATTAATGAGCCTGTAATACCAAGAACTGTGCAAGGCAAGCTAATTGTTTTGTCATGTAATAAGATTTTGGAATTGGCTTTATGAAAATGTGACTTAGGTGGTTCTGTAAGTCACTTGGAAGCAAACAAAACATTAAAACAACTAATCAAAGACAAATACTTAAACTTGTCCTTATCAGGTCTTATAAGATTTATTTCTCCTCTACCATCTTATGAGTACAATTTTATCACTGGTGTCACCAAGTAATTACACAATCAAAATGTAAAAAATAACTTGTTGTGAACCTATTAGACATAGATTCTAATTTTAAAAAGGTAGCATCTTAAGGAGCTTATCCTTCTCCTTGATATCTTAAATATTCTGTGTCAGAATTTTAAAAATACAAGCGTGTAATTTATTTTTATTTTTCTTAATGTTTTCTCTTTTTATGTCTCAAAACAGCTGGGTTTTTTTCCTAATGCTTTGTAACCCTTTTGAAAATTTATGACAGTTTAAAAATACTAAGATCATTTCAGACTAATTTTGTCTGGGACATTTTCCTTTTTCCTTCACTGTGAAATACCTTTGGCAGGCTGTAGTGAATATCAGTAATTTTCAGCTAGCTTGTATAAATTATCATGGTTTGTAGTGCTTCATTATATGAAGATATATTAAAGAATTAAATTATTTGCCTAAAATTATTAAAAATCCATTCCCTTTGATTTTACTTGTGGTGCAGCACTCCAGCACACTTACTGTTCTGCCCACCAAACCTAGCCTAACTTTCTTGCTAGTCCAGAAGATTACTTTGGGTTTTGTTTGTGTATTTATGTGTTTTTTTAGAACTGTCCGTTTAAAAATTATAATAGGCCAAGCACCTCATGGTGGCACCAAAGTACATAAATGGAAGACAGGTAAAACAGCAACAAACTCGTCTAGTCAAATACAGGGGAAATAAATCTCTTTAGGAACTGTTACGCAGACTGGTAGTCCACGTGCTTAGTATTATGTTTTCAATAATGATCGTTAGCAGAATTTTTGAAGGGAAATAGCCTTCAAATAATGGATATTCCTTCCTTTTCATTAAGTAACTGGTTGATGCTTTAAGGCATAACTTAGTAGGATTTCACACTTCACAATTGTGGTTGATCGCACAACACTGCAGTGCATGGTAAGTTTTGAAAATCAGTATACTCTCGAGCTCTTGAGCAAGTTCTACAAGTTACCAGTTCTATTTATTTTCTTAAAAGGTGCCTTTCATTTCAAACAGTGAAATCTCTTTTGTATTAGGCAAAGTAAACAAAACTATTAAGACTGTTTTAAATACTCCTCAAAGTAATTAAAGGGAGGGATCTTAACAGTGTCTAGCAGTATCTGATGGGGGGGCGGGGAGTGGGTAAAGAGGGTGAAGCTGGACTATTCTCAGTGATACCCAGTGAAAGGACAAGAGACAGCGGGCGTACATTGAAATTACAGGAAATTCAGTTTGGCTTGAATGACACTTCAGACTGTAGCATAGATAATAACTGTACAGTTAAATAAGTGGTTTGAAAACATGTCTTTATGCAAATTGTATTTCTCTGATTTTATTTTAGCTTTGTGCACCTTACTCATTAACTTTTTTGTGCTCGTATCCACTAAATAAATGTTTACTTTTTGTGACTTAGTCTCTTTTTCCTTGATCCTATGAACTGGAAACAAACAGGATATAACGTGAGAAGATTTCTATCTTCATTAATGTCGTCTTGCGACTTCAGGGCCCAGGGTGTATACTTCTGTTGTGGTATTGGTTTTTTAATCTGGATTCCTAAAGAAATAAGACTTAAAGTTGCACTGTCCTTTTATTACTCTTTCTAACTGCCTTTAAATAGTTTTTGAACCTGTTGGTGACTTTCAGCCACATTTAGTACAGAATGTATATTTCAAAGATGCTGTAGATTTCATAAACAGAATCTCTTGTAAAAAGGATCCTGGTTTTGATCTCACTGAGTGAAGGGCTGCAGAATGGGGTTTTTCTCCTTATTAAACATCAGAGTGCACACTTACTGGGTGATGCTGAAGGATTTCATAAATTCTGGTGCTTATTCTTCTGATTTAAGCACCTCTGCGTTACTGCAGTAGAACGGTGTTCTACCAGACAGTTGGTTGCTGGTATAAGATACGCAGCCCTTTGTTATGTTTTTTTATTAAATTGTCATGTTAAATGAGTTGTGGAATCAACTGATAGATGACAGAATAGTGTGATCTACACTACCTTTTGAAAATGAGAATTGTATCTTTCATGTACCTTAATTAGAAATCTATTACAGTTAACTCAAAATCTAGAGATTCTCACATTTTTACATGGGCTGTAGGTTGTTACATCTTTTAAAATTGAAACAGGTAAATCAGCTGAATCTTCCTAGAAGCTGTAAATGAGTAACACATTTAATTTATTTTATGAACATAATGTAACATGTCCCATGATTAAATACTACTACAACTGGATTTTCCAAGCAATTTCACTAATACTTGGAACTGTCAGAGCTCCAGATGCAGTCTTGGCTTTTTTATGTGAGTCAGTCCAAAGAAGGAGGAAAACAGATTCCAAAAGAAAGCAAACCAATTTACATACTGTAAGCATGTGCTAAAGTTTGTTTTGAAAGTGCCCTCAGCCACCTGGCGTTGTAGATTTGGATTAAATGAGTTAACGCATTGTGAAGTGACCTTGCATATACATTAATGATCAAAGTTTCTACATTATTTTCTGAAAGATGTGTCTTAGACTATAGTTGAACAACATTATGACACTGTTTCAAAATAAAAACAATAAGCTGTATTTATTTTCAGCATACTTACATGTACGATTTTTGTGTTCTTTGACTTGATGATCTGAACAGGTTAATGATTTTTAAAAAAGAAAGATGTCTTGGCTGCAAGCCGGTATCTCTTGCTTTGATGATAATTAATTTGCTGTGTAACAAACTCCGTGAATGGATCCTGTCTAATTTTTAAGTTGCGTGTAAAAATAAACCTGACTCAATTCTGTAATAACATATGTACTAATTTAGGGCATTTTCTGTCTCTTGATTTTACATTATTTCACAAACTAATGAGTATTAAATATGACCATTTACATTGTTGTGCAGAAAGACTGTAAACGTTCCAGAAGTGTCAAAGGGTATATGAAAGGATGGGTGGTTTTTTTCTTAACTTGGAATTCTAAGATTTAATCTCAGTAGTCCTTATTTCTTCATCTGCAGAGATGAAGCAAAATGTGTAAGTATCACAAAGCTAACAGCTTAAGATGTTAAGACAAGAATGTTCCAATACCAGCTAACATATTAAAATATCTAGGTGTGGATTTTTTTTTTTAATCGAGTGGTTCTGGGGTGAAATGGTTCATTAAATCAAGTTAGTTCTGAGTTTTGTCATCTGTGTCTTTGAGTGATTCTTTGTGACAATCATTGTTACCAGCTTCATTTCTAGATGATTATTTGGCCTCTTGGTTGGTACATTCATGTATTTTTTGTTTATCATGTTTTCACTTTCACCTTTTTGCTTCCCTCTCCCTGTTTACAGTCTGCCACATTTATACTAATTCCAAAGTAACTGTATTTTCAGATTCTTTTTTTCTGTTTGCTATGAGTGTATACACAGATGTGTGTGCAGTTGTGGTCCCAGCAGCTCCTTTCTCAAACATTTAATCTATATTATTTTTCTGTTTGATTTGCAGACCTTTTGACGGTGCCTTTGCCTACAGACCCAATTACCTTCTTACACCATTTGTCAGTATCTATGGGTTAAATAGAAGCAATGTACAGTTTGTTTTCTTATAGATCTTATGTTTGTGGGTTGTTCTTTTGTTTGGCATAAACTGAAGTAACCTTTTTTAATTGATTTTTTTTCCTCTTCTTCTAGATTTGTATGGCAATACTTAGGACATATATCAGTATCAAAGAACCGGGCCTTCTAAAACGTGCAGGTATGACCTAGGAGTAATTTTTGATGTATCTTTGATACTTAGCTTATTTAAAGAAATTAAATAGGCTGTAGGGAGAGAAATGGGTGCCGCTTCACCAGCAAATAAGAAGTTATGATTTTGAAGGAATACATCAAATCCATGTGTGTTCATGCTCTGATTTCCCACTGAGGCTACGTATTTAGTTATGCAGTTATCTGAGGAGGTTGTTATAAATCTTACTTCCACAGAAAATTAACTTAGCTTGACTTGAGAGTAGAAGCGAGTAACTGGCACAGGGGGGAGGTTTAACAGAACCAAAATTTTGTTAAGGCACTTTTGAACACCCTCGCCAGACATTACAAATACAAAAACTTTAGAATTAATCTCCTGAAATTAAGTGCTTGTACAGCACCCAAAGAGCTTTAGTTTAATCCTTTTATATTACCACATATGCAAACAATTATGGTTAATGCATTTTAGGGACTGTAGTTGATTCAGATCCATCTGAGCTTTTGAGTTCAGTCAGAAAGGGCTAAATTTTACTTTGGACAGTCGTTCTTTTTGTACCCGTCCTGACCAGTCTTCAAGTTTTTGAAAGCTTATTAAGAGTATAGCAGAATGTGAACGTGGGATCCACCCTGTGTAGTAATGCTTCCATGCTGAAATAACTGAGCATTGTAATGCAGATAACGTTGGGTACCAGCAGACTACAGTACGTGTCTATCAAGCCTAGCACTGGAACAGGTTGTAAGACCATTCACCATGATAACACTGCACTTCTCTTCCTAGAGCTTCATGTCTGGAAAGGCCTTACTACTGTGATGCGCTTACCAAATCTACCCTGGTTTTGTGCGTTTTTCTTGTGCTGCACCAAATCAGATAAGCTTTCTTGAAACCTACAGAACTTACGGTGTTCAGCTCTATAACATAAGATATTTCAGAATAGTCAGTCTGGGTCTAGTAAGGTTAACACTGTGTTCAAACTGGATCCTTTCACCCATTTTTCTCCCTATCCCTGTCCCATAGTATCCTGGATAAGTAAAGGTTTATATACTGCATTTAAAATTTAAGGAATTAACTAATTTATATAGTTATCGTAAGTTACCCCAAAGTGAAATTAATTTAATTGCTTTTTCAGCCCAAATATTTGTGAAATATTACAGAGAAGTTGCTCCTGGTGTGGATTTTGCTTCTGAAGTGCTGAATGATCTTCTCATTTCTTTGCTCAAGAACTGTTTCTTGTGGGAAGTATTTGAGATATTGAATGTAACTGTACGAATCAATACACTGGTAGGTGACCTTCTAATATTTTTAAAATCTTTGATCTGTAGTTTCTTAGTTTTTTGAGTACTATGCGATTTGTAGTAATAAGGTTTCTTTCACTCTGGTACTCAAATCTTACGGGGGAAAAAGAGCAATTCAAAAGTTCCTATTATAAAAATTCTAAGCTTTCTAATTGAACAGAGTTGCAAAACTGATTGTGCTTTTTTGTCTAAATTAGCCAGCTGTAGATGTTCTTCTGAAAGTTTTTGAGCATGTGGCTTCTTTGAATATAAGAGACGCTGTGCCTACATTAATCAGTACCTTTTGTAAGGTATGAGTTTGTACTACTGCTCCTTATTGGAATTTCTGAAATACCTTGCCTATTTTAAAACTCAAACATATCACTTTTAAAAATAGTACTGAAATAATATTAAAGTTATATTGTGATTATCGGAATTTGTGGTGCGGGCTTCCATTTATCCCTTATTTTTGACTGAGATTCACTGTGACATGTTTTTCCCACTGTTGTTTGACACTTGCCTCTGGAAATACATAAGTGATCACTATTTTTTGTGTGCTTACTTTTCTTCCCCCTGTTTGATATTACAGCTCATTGATGCTGGTATGTTCCTTAAGTTTGAACATTTTGACTGTATTATTAAGTTCCTTCACCAACTGCAAGTTTCCAGTCAGGAAATAAATACTGTTTTGAACATAAAATCCAGGTGTGTCTTTAAGGAGCTATTATATAATTATATCTGTCTACTTCCTTCTTCAAGTTCTGTTTTTATAAATTTATGTAAAAACTTTAAAAGGCAATGAGAAAATGCAAATTCAGTGTTTTGGATGAAAATACTGACATGCCTAATTGTATTTTAAAGTGCTGTCAATCTACTGCGCTTCAAAGATCAAGGATTGTTAAGTCAATACTTAGATTCTGACTGCAGTTATGATTAGTTTTTTCCATATTGATCATCATTGTACAACCTGTTCCCAGCTGTGCTACAAGGTTATATAACTGTAGTCAAATTAGAAACATCATGGTTTAATATATCATTTAGGCCTGTGTAAGCAAACAGTACTTCTGCAATAAACAACCCTTCTAGGCAGTAGGAAGATTAGTTGTAATCTGAAGTAGTTTTCTAGTTTCGTTTACCGTGCGACTGCATAAACACTTGTGCCAACACAAGTAGGGAGGAGAGTGATTTTTTTAAGTACTACTGGGTAATGCTGGGCAACATGTGAAATCCCAGCCGCAGTCTGTTCCAAAATCTTCATGTCTCCCCATCACTTGCACAAGATTGTGATCCTTTTTTTTTATCATCTGCATCATAATATGCACACACAAGTTGAGAAACTAAATTTGCGATTCATAAAGCAACCTTTGATTCTTAAAGGAAACCAAATATGCAGCATCTACTGTATGAAAACAAGTCATCGCTGTTTCAAGTGAAAGCACTGTAGGAATTGCTGCTTTTCATACTTTTCCCATAGAGTACCTTTCCACCACAGATCTCAGTGTTTTACCACTATGCAACTTACACATAGGTTGGAGGTAATTTTTATCGCTTTTCAGATCAAGAATCTGATTCGCAAAGGAATGACCCCTTCCAGGTTGCCTCAGTACGTATGTTTTCAGCACAAGCTGAGATACAGTCTGTATTTATGAAGACTGAGCAGCTGTGCTACTTCAACTACGTGTGTTAGCTCATTCAGTTGTAGGTTATGTATCTCTACATCATTGCACTGCACTGGGTAGATGTAACCACTGTTTCGGTGGCAGCATCAGAATAAAGTATTATGCTCCTAGGTATTTGCAGCTGCATAGCACTTTCTTCCATGTAATTAACTTTTTTTTTTCACCTTTATGTCAGAAATGCTGACTGCATTTACTTAATGGATTGCAAGTCTTATTCATACCTTTTCAGGTACATTTCTACTGAGATAAGGGAATATTTTCTGTGGAAACAGCTCTGATGAATTATTTGCTTAGTACACATACTGGCTTCCCTTGGCATGATTGTAAATGTCTGTTTTCAGTGTCCAGTTTGCATAGCGTGTAGTAAATAGGATGAAAAATCACATCAGTTTTTAGTTCATATATCATAATTTGTTGATCACCTTCTGCTGGTGCATAGTTTAGTTCAATAGGATGTGTTAAAATTAAGTATTATTTTTTTTTCTTATGGAAGATTTCAGGAAAGAGCTTTTGAAAAGAACTGGCTTGTTGACTTCAACTTAGCAGTGGCTGAAATTCAGGTACAGTATGTGCATTCTTCAAGCTTGTTGGAATACTTAAACCATGACCTCTTTAAAACCTGCAAGAAGTAGCAATTTCTGCATCGTTTAAAAATAGTGTGCTTTCTTACTAAGTATATTGAGATTATGATAAAATATTTTTTATGCAAAGCCATGTTTGGGAAAGATTATCTGTCTCAGGTTTTCTGTAATGTCAGTATTTTAATTTACATACTTGTAGTTTTTATCTTGTTTTTTCATCTAATTCAAAGATTTTATAATTTTAAGGAATTATTTCCTGTGTGTTACATTTGTTGTGCTTGTAATTGGTAGTGGTACATCATTCCTCACAAAAAAAATATTTAATGTATTAATCAGATAGAATTCATATCTAGTATGGAAAGGCACAATTGTAAAAAGCTATAATTGGCAACACTAGGCAGGTGGTGTTTTTTTTTTAATAAGAAAATATTCTAAAAATTATTTGGACACTTGCATCTTCTTTCATATTCAGGGGCAGATTACTTATTATGCACAATTGTAATATAGTTTACATATTATTACACTTAACTGCACAGATCCTGAGACCAAAATTTAAGAAGGAAAGAACCAGGACTGAATTTTTTCTCCTTTAACACCAAAGTCATCAGGTGATCTGGCAAGCAAAAGACTAATTCATAAAGAAAATAACCATCCATTTGTGGTTAATTGTGCAAAAAAAAAGATAGTAAAATACTGGATGAATGCCAGTTCTTAAATAGGATGAATAAGTTATGAGCTTCCCCAATTGGAGTAATGACATAAACAGAAAAAGCATTTTAATTTTTTGAGGGACAAAAGTGATTAGCAGTCCACACAAGTTAGGCAACATGTAACTGTGCCATATTGCACATAGAGGTTCTTGGCAGCACTGTTTCATCTGCCTCATTTTTCTGCTTTAAGTCTATTCCAGGTGTAACTCTCGAATTTCAGTAATTTTCTGTTTGGTGTTCTGGAAGCAGGTTTGCTTGTATTTATCCCTTGTCTTCTTTACAGCATTGCAAGGAAAAAAGTGATTGGACCAAGCTGGGAGCTTTGTATGTTAATGTGAGAACTGGATGTGAACATATTGATGATCTTCAGAAATTGTCTTTATGTATTGCTGAAATACTAACCAGAGATTCTGAGACAGGCAGACCAGGAGTTCCTTTTTGTGGTTTTGCTGATGGAGGTAAAATTAAGATGCAAGAAATGTTTTTTGTTCATCCCTATACGTTCTTTGTAGAGTTTTTAAAAGAAGTAAAAAAAAAAACGAATCTGTATACTGTTATCTGAATATTAGTTAATTTGTTACAATATTCAGAATTTCTTGACATGCAAATACAATCAGCTGAAATGCTCAATAGAAGCCATTTTCTAGTAGAAGTAAAATCCACAGTACTTACGCTTGAAGAAAGTTCTGAAAGAAGAACATTTGAGCTTTGTGAAATCAAGGAAAGAAACCAAAATTGGTGGTCTTTTAATAAGAATGTCCTATCCTTAGGAAAAAGGCAAAAGTATTTTTGTTGTGTGAAGTGTTTCACTCTTAATAGCATAAATAAACTTTAGAGCTGTAAATACAGCTATATGTATATTTGTGTATTTCAAAACACCTTGAACAGGGTTACATCATTTATATAATTTGTACTCTTTTTTTAAAATTTTTTTTCAGTGATTTCGATTTTCAGAATTACTTCATTCTCTAAAGAACCAAGATTTTATGCAAGAGCTGGGTCCACATAACACCTTCTAGTTTTTTAATAATTCTGGCATTTTTTTCCACTTTCCTCCCTATGCCCCTTTACTTACATATCTGTATTATTCTTCCTAACAAGTTTGCAGAAAACTGAGGCTCAGTGAAGTGTTAGTGGGATATTAAAACTTTTTATAATGGATGACTCGGATCTTTTTCAACCTCTATTTACTACTAAAACTTGACAAATTCCAGATACATGACATGACCATTGTGACCACAGGCTTTCATATTATAAAATTGGCTATCACAGCTTCTAGTTTAGAGACAGATTTTGGTGGGGCTGTCTTCCCTAGAGCAGTGGTCTCCAAACTGATGGGCACCTCTCTCAGTGGAAGATTTTTGAGCACTCACCCCCAATTTATTTATTTATTTATAAATTATATACATGTACTATTGCACTAATATATTAAGTACATTCTAAAACATACACAAAGATAGAAATTAAAAAGATGAGGTAAAAATGAAGTAAACACTACTTTAAAAAATATTTTATTTATTTTTTATTTTTAATGGTACAAAAAATATTTTCTTCCCACACGGGAAAGGATTGTTGTGCTCACACCCTACTTTGGAGACCACTGCTCTAGAATACCAACAGTGCTTCCAAAGTGTTTGTATAATATGGTTGGAAAAACTTGCAATTACTACTCAGTTCTGTAATTGACAACATTTCTTCATGGTGCCAGAAAATGCAAAGCTTACTTTACAAATAATGATGTTGCGAAATTATGCCATTACGTGTCCAAGCATCTTACAGATGAATTAGACTACGATGAAATAGTGTCTGAATAAACTATAGTTATTTACCTTCTGGTGTTAAAACTTAGAAGTTACTACTTTTAATGGCAAATATTTCAGAAAGTATATTTAATATTTTCAGAATGACCATGGTTTTCAAGTGTGTAATTTCTTTAAAATTGCATTTACCTGTAAATTTTTTTTTTCTTTCCAGTAATAAAAGATTCACAACATAATGAAGCAGACAGAACTTTCATTGGAAGGATTGGGATAAGTGTGATGTATTCTTATCACAAAGTACTGCAGTGGATAAAGGTATACTGGACTATAGGAACCTGACTAGAAGAAAAAGAATGAGTCATTCCTTTTCTAGATGTTGAATTGTGTTTCTCTAGTTGAATGGCTGGATGTGCCACCTGCCTCCCCACCATCTTAGTACTTCTTGATCGTCCAGCTGGATCAAAGCATTTTATTGTGCCTTTCTGAGCAGTAGTCTTTTATGGAGCCCATCATAACTTTGTCTTGCAATCTAGAAACTTCATTGTTCAAGTACAGCTTTTGACTTTTCTGAGCTGAGGATGAATCTGGCGTAGGAGACAGGTCTTCCTGAGATTCTGGGGCAAGGTGCTTACGGGATTGTTTCCCAGAAGTGTCACTTTCTTCCATCTGGCAATACTACAGTATTCTGAGACCTCACAACTCAAGTAATATCTACAGGAGTTGGGAGTGGGCACTTTCCTGCACAGATGCTTCTGAAACTGACCTCCAATGGAATGGATAAGGCCAGGAAGACATGAGAAGCATAGTAAGGCTGCTACTGCACTTCGTGAACTGCTCATTTCCCAGAACATCACTAGAAGTGCTTTTTTTCCAGTGGATCTAGGGGTCTAAGTTCTGTGAATCTTGCAAAGACTCAGCCCTCACAAAGAAATACCCCTTACAATTCTTTCTTTACTGTCAATATTACAGAGGGCCAGGGTTAAGAGATGAGACCTCTCACTGGCAGTTTTACACTCTTCAGGCCTCGTGCAGTATTGATCATGAGTTCACTGCAGCAAGATCCGTTTCAGTGTTACATTTGTCTTTTTCTTCCTGGAAGGAAGCAGTGTATACCAAGCTGGATCTCCTATACAATGCTACATGACTAATGACAACATAAAAAATAATATAAACCACCAATGATTTTGGAGTGTATTTTGGTCAGTGATCACATTCTGAACTTACCTTTGTGTCACTGGGCCTGATCCTTACAACTAATAATTATGCTGTACTGGGATGTTCCTTATCCCATACAAGTTGATTTCTAGCATGTATTTTTATGAACAAAAGCAAACACTCTCCTTGTCTCCTTTTGTCTTTTGTGGGTTTTTTTGTAACTTATCATCAAGGAACCCTTTCTAGTTTGCATCAAAGGATTAAAGTGTCTTTTCTACTGTTGTTCATAGGGGATGACCTTCAGGATTTCCATTATGTAAAACCTGTGCACTGCTCAGTTTCCAAGGTCAACTCAAGCACCAGGAGATAATTTGATAGAGATGTTTAGTCTAGAGGCAGTACACCTGTTTTGAGGAATCGTTAATTTTGTAGCATCAGCTTGTTGAGTTGAGTGGTCTTTAGTAGTTCCCTATCAAGCTGCAGCACGGTGTGGTATTGCTTCGGCGTAAAGGGAAGGAGAGATAGTCTTTGCATTAGCGCTTTTGTAGCACCGCACTAGAGCTTTTTTAGACATTTTTGTTCCACAAAACTTAGCAGTTCAAACAGTTAAGATATCCCTGTAGGTAGTCTAAATTTTTGGCATTGAGGAGTGGTCAGTGCTCACATGCCCATCAAAGAGCTTAGTTTGCCTTGGGTTTTGGCTGTCGTCTTCAGCAGAGATGGCATATATTCAGTGTTTGTTCAGTGCCTTCATACCATTCAGGTGTTTTCCAGATCCATCTTAAAGGGAGATCCTGATATTTGGGTTGCAGGACCTCTGATGTTCCAAGGAGGTTCATCTTCATTTCCTTATTTCAGAGGTGCAAGGTGTTAAAAGCATGTGTAATGTTCTTCTTGTATAACAGGAGTTACTAGAAGTAGACAGTTCTTACAATACTATGATATTTTCATGTCTAGAGCAAAAGATCATTGCTTCTTTGAGAATGTTTATGTGTTACGTTAGGTATCAAATCCACCTCTCCACAGAGTGCACACCAAGATCCTCAAACAGCCTTGCAGACAACCTGTCTTGACCAAGTGGGAGTGTGAATGAGACTGTATTCTGAATTATTTTTATCAGAACTGGCAGATCCAAAATTCACCTCTGCTTCAGGGATGAACTAGAACTGTCATTTCTACCTTTCTCCAACCAGTTTCACTCCATTATATGGATCAGATTAAGTCCCTAATCCTGTGGTTATGGACTAGTATCTAAACTAGTCCCATGTCTTGTTTCTTCCAAAAAGTGGTCCAGAAAATAAGGTGGTGATGGATTTGTTCTTCCTGCTGTGCCCAAAGTAATTTTGGCTTTAGAAAACATGCCCTGTGCCATTTTATGAATATGCTGGACTGCCCAAAGCTCTAGATGTGCTTTTCAGATGTGCTTTTTTTTGCATTCATGAACATCAAACCTCTTTATCACATAGCTTTGATGCTTAGTGGCTCTCAGGGGTAAAATATGTATACTCCTTGATCCTGAAGAGAATCTTCTTTGTAAGAGCTAAGGCAAGTTCATAGAACAGATATACTTCAAAAAAACATGCAGAATTGAAATGTGACTAGGCCTTCCATGGAGACAGCTCTTCAGGCAACATCAGACTACTTTCTGGACGTGTACCTGTAGAGAATCCTGCAATGTTAATGCTCCTCTGGCAACTATTTCATCCACTTCCTGTCTCAAATATTTCTTATCTTGAAGGACTTTGCTATGGTTTATTTTTATGCAGCTTTTTATTACTTCAGAGAATTGGTCAGAGGTTCTTGTCCGATTAAGGATCTCAATCCACAACAGCGTTTTAATTGGATGCCCTTCCTTTATAGATAATTTGTTCTTATAGCTGCATGCTTTCCATCATTGTATAAAGACCCACTTCTTAGTGGCCCTTCTTTTTTGCTAGACGGGTGGAATAGATGCAAATCTTCCGTAATTTTGTATTTTGTCTTTGGTTTGCACTTAGATTTCAAGTTTCTATTTTGCTGTCAAAGTTTCACCTGAGTCTTTCTGGTATGTTTTTTTTTCCCTTCAACCACATACATCTATAGGGTTCTTTACACTGTAAATGTTAACTGCACTGTTGTAGTTAGTATTCTTCTATGGGTTATGCTGAGATAAACCACTGCAGATACCGGTAGGCCTTTAAAAGTCTCCAGTTTTTACCATATGCCAGTCCACAGTATGTATGTGCATATGCATAAAGCACTTTCAAAAAATGAGCTTCTTAATAAGTAAGTTTGGTTTTCCATCAACTTCTCTGTTCTCCTAAAACTCCCTTTCTCTATACTTCCATGACCCTCGTTCCAACACCACAATGGGTACATACACATGACCACCACTTTTAATAAGCCACCTCCTCACTGATTCACCCACTGAGCAAGAGCTGAAACATGTCCTGCTTGGCGTTTCCTGCATGTTGCTTGACCAGCAAGGTGCAGCCAGACAGGATGAGTGCTGAATCCTGCCTGTTCTTGCCTTGCTGGGGATATTAATTTGATATCCCACCTTGACACGGTCATCATCTTTTTTAGATTTGTCAGATCTTAATTATCTTTGAGACTGCTACCTTTCTTCCATCTTTGACTGAAAAGGCCAACCAAAAAGTTAAGAGGAAGCCTCTGTAGGAAACCAGTCTAAGTATCAACCTGGAATATGATGATAAAATAGTTGGTTGTTACACTGTTGTCTAGATAGGCCCAACTTTTTCCAGCTTATTGTCCTGCTCGGTACAGCTATCAGTCTTTTCTTTGGCTTACACTGGAGTAATTATTTCAGTTTAACAATTATGCCTCTGCTGTGAAATGAAAACTCTCTGTATGACCTTTTTAGAATTTTATAGGTTGCATAGTGCTGAACGGAATCAAAAGAGTAAAAATATTAATATACTAAAGTAAGCAAATACAAATTAATTACAAAATATACTAAAATACTGCATAGGAACATTATTATATAATTGAAATAAAGTTATGGGGAATAACGTGCTAGGAAGTGTTCAGCAATGGGCTGGTGGGGCTTTATTGCCAACACAGTCAAAAAACCCAAACTATTCATAAGAAATTTTACTCTACTTTTTTTTCCCTACTGGGTTTGGATAACTAAACTGATGCCTATAAATGTGTGTCACCAAATTAAATCCGTATTTTGTGTAAATATACTCAGTGATCACTAATCTCATTGCTTTCTCTGACCTTCCTCTTTCACTTCTCCCCCTTATGCTAGGGAAGGAAGGTTTTGGATAAATTGCATGAGCTACAGATACATTTTACAGTTTTGAAAGGACTTGTAGGTGCAGAGAGGTTAGCATCAAGATGTCAAATTGTTAATAAAGCTGCAGAAATTTTTCTTAAAACTGGAAGTTTGGATGGAGCGATATGGGTATTGAGAGGTAAGCTTGCCATAAAAAAACGACATCTTACTTAAATTTGAACAGTCCCCTTCTATGACAGATTTCAGATAAAAGTTACAAGCTAGTCTATGTTATTAAATAAAGTTAATAATACTGGGACAACAAAAATAAAATTTGATCCATCTTACTGGTTAGTATTCTTCTTGACATGTAGAAGAAATATTATGACTAATACAAAATTTTTTTCATAAAAGTTTTCACAGTAGTCTGCCATTAACACCATTATACACTAAAGTCTACCATAATACAGGAGTGGTGCAGCTTGGAAAGTGACCCTGCCCCATGTAGATTTCCTTTGACCCAGGTGACATTCAGTGTCAAAAAGTTTTCAGGCTTGGGTCAATGCAGTGTTTCTTTACCCCTCACAGTATCCGCATTTAGTAAAATAGCTTTAGAATAGTTCCATATTTCTGCAATTAAATAACACGTCATTATTGGCTTTTTGGAATTCTGATCTGCTGAAAAGAGAAGACACTCAAAAGTATAAACAAGAATAGTGGGTGTTCTATAAAGTAATATTGAGGATCTAAAATTTGCTATTCAATTTTGTTTATGTACATAGATATATACATAGTTATATACACACATATATATGTCACTGACAGTCCACTTTACTACCGTGATAAAAGGTGTTATTTGCAAGATAAAACCATCTGAGAAGTATTGGTGATAAGGAACAAATTATTAATAACTAGAACTGCATTTGATGTGAAATTTCTTTTCTGCTACAGTTTACAGTTTATTTTTAATCACCAAAAGTCTCAGCATCCCGCAGTTTCAGTTCCTAGAAATAACACTACACTGTTGTTTGCCGCAGAGTCAGAGTGGACCACAAATGCACCATTGTGGCCCTGTGATAAAACAGACATCATCAATCGACATAATCTGCTATGTACACTAGTGCACAAATACTTGAGGAAGAGTTTATACAGGCAGGCGTTTGAAGTTCTGCAGAATTTACCAGGTTTTCAAAATCATTCTGGTAAGTAAAGAAAAAGGTACTGTGTTAAAAGCTGAAAATTTAACAGATGATTCTGTACTGTTCTTTTCGCTTATTTTCAAGCTAAAATTTGTTGAAGTAAGATGGTTTCAGACAAGCCCCTTTTTTTTTCTCCAAAGAATATAATGTCAGTTAAAGTATATACTGTACGCTGCAGCTCTTGCCACACGCACACACACAAGAGTTTATACACCTGTCCTCTTTTTCCAATTGGCTCAGTTACACAGGGCAACAGGAAAGACCGACTAAACTTTTAAGGATCATACAATTCTATAGAATAAGATATATTTTGGGCAATTCACTTTATCTTAACTTCAGATTAATGCATTGTTTTTGAGCTAGCTAACCTAGGCTGCTTTCACATTCCATGTTAAGAACCGAGTGCTCTTTTAGGCTCAAATAATCTGACAAATTTTGAATGTGTACTTCAAGATGAGATGCGTAATTGCTTAAGCTCCACTGAGTGAATCTCAGCTGATTCCTGTGTGTAGGTCTCAGTCCTATTGACAGTGTCTTTTTAGGTATGTTAGGAGAACTTAGTTGGAAAACCATCTACTTAGAGAATCCTAAAAGGATCTAGTCTTTTTAGGCATGAGGTGGACATAAGGCTGCTCAGTCCTGCCAAGAAGGGGACAGTTGAGAGGAAGTGGGCTCTTCAGAGTAAGAGTAAGGTAGAACTTAAAGCACCAAGGTGATTTTTATTGGTGCAGATTTTAAGTCTGAGAGATCAGGTTTTTAGGCTTGGGCAAGTGAATCTATTTTTATCTGATCTTACTGGTTTTGGCAGCAAATTATTTACTTGTACCTTAACACTTCTCTTTCACAATGTGAATGAACTGTATGAAAAGACTTTTGATGACTAAAGCATTATCATAAGTTATCTCAACCTTCTTCAATTTTGCTGATACAAGCAAGAGTCCTGATTTAGGTACTGACTGAGAAGTGATTCTTCATTAGATTTGCATTTGACTTAATTCAGTAGCTAATATTCTTCATTTCATTTCAGATACTGTAGATGTTTCTCAGTACAGCTGCCTTTTTAACAAGCTGATTAATGCCTGTTTTGAGAGCAAGAACCTTGGCATCTCATCTTCTGCAGTAGACTTCATGCTTTCAAACAACCTATCTATTGATTTTTTTTTACTTAGAGGATTAATCACAGCTTTGGGAAGAAGTTCTTTGTGGTCTAAAGCTAGGACCTATTACAAAAGTAAGTTGCTTCTTAAACAATATCCTTCCCTTATGTTCTTTGGATAACATATCCTCATAACAGCCCAGTATGTTGGGGAAACAATGGGTAAGGGTAGACTTTCTAAGAAGGAAACAATACTTTCTGTGTCACTAGCAGGAATTTATTTGTAACCAAAATGTTTACGGGAAATGGTGACAGTTGAAAATATCAATCAGTGCGTGCTACCTGGCATGAAATAAATGTAATTCTGATAAAAGTTAATTTCAAACATTCAGTTTCAGAATTTAAAAAATGTGAACCCTGAAATGGTTGAAAAGTGCATCATCTTCACTTCTTCATCTACGCAAATTACATTTCTTTATACTTCTGCTTAGAGCTGTGGTGGTAAAAATATTTAAAATTTGAGAGGTCTGGTGAAGAAGTTTATCCTAACTAAAAGAAAATTCCTTTCAACTAAAAGCTAACACTCTGTGATTGCTTTTAACTGCCCACTTCTAAGCCAAGACAATCTTGGTGTGCCACTCTGATAGGGTCCACCAAGAACCATCTCTCCATGTTGTCACATTATTTACTGTTTGATTCTGACTTAGAATTGTGGTGGTTAGCAAGCCGCTTAAGGAGTCCATCCCTCCCAGGATGGATACTTAGCTTTGTTAACATTGAAATTATTGATTTTCCTCACTTCTTTTCTTTTTTCCTGAAATGCTGTATAGTTTGGGTTTCTGGGATCACTTGGCAGAAGACAGGGAAGCAAAGGGGGGGATACTGTTCAAGTGTCCTCTCTCACAGTCATTATAGTTTTTTAATAAAGCTTCTTTCTGACCTGTCCTAAATTCTACTTGCATTATTACGCACTTGGAGTCCCCAGACTTCTGACAGAGCTTTTTAATCATACTGATAATATTCATTGGCAAAAATAACATTTTACAACAGTGAATATTATGAGTGAATACTATTTGCTCTGTTCTCAAATCACACTAGTTCACAGGTGAAACAGGAAAATCCATTTAGTGTTTGGGGGTTTTTTCCCCACATTCTTAGACACATAATGAAGAAAACAGATCTGTGTTCAGTATGGGTGATCCTAATTCCTTACATTTCTGCATTTACTCTCAGGTGCTTTCTCACTGGGTTGCTACCCACCACTGCAGGGAAATTTATATCACAAACATTTGACAATTCCATCTTACCTGTCTGAGGTTGAGATGCTGTTGGCCATGGAAATATTTCTTGTTTCAAATGCCAGTGATATTCAAAGTCTAACGGCTACTAGTCAGACTCTGCAGATAATACTGAAAAGGTTTGTTGTCTGATATGTACCATTTTGATTGTATTTATCCATGTGATCATGTAATTAATAGAGATCTTATTTTTCATTGGCTGGGAGAGAGAATGCTTTGTTTTAAACTTGTTTTTAATCCTTGTTTCTAAACTGGCTATAGAACAGTAAATGTTTGAGGTTTTAAAATTATTATTATTTTTACATGTGGGTAGCAGAAAATTGTTTCAGATACTGGCCTTTGTTCCCTAACTGAATGTATCTACTGCACTAAGAGTGCACTGTATTTTCAAAAACAGGATAGCTTGATATCTTGGTGTATAGGTTCTTGTGTTATGGTTAAGCAGTGGAGTAGAAGGGCGCAGTCAAAATGTTATTCCTTTCAAAAAGCAACTAGCATTTCTTGTGTGGTTTTTTGAAAGTGCATGAAGCCATTTTACTTTATTCTCTTCATAGGGGATATCTCAATATTAAATTTGTTAGATGTTTTTCCCCTTTCTGTGAGACTTAATACCTTCAGATAAAATTGTGGTTTGTTGCTTTTTCCTTTTGTCTATAAACCACCAACCACTGTCACTAGATTATACCTACAATCGATTTTTCAAGACCCCATTTTTTCTGAGATTGACTGGCTCAGCATCAAAAAGCTGCATTTGTTAAGAAGGATGAACAGGGGCATCTCAAACTTGAGTACTCTGTCTTTCTTCCCCTCTACCCCTCCCAAGGAATACATATCTTCACTTTGTTCTTTTGATAAATCAGAAGTTTTTTATTTTGTTTTCATGTGTATGCTATTGTACCTCTGCTTATTTGCTTAAAGTGTAAGTTCTCCTCTTGCAAAAATGTAGGCATGTCACTTAGGCACATCCTTACTCCGAAAGTGATTACATGCCAAAAATTAGTACTCCTTTTGGATTCAAGCATGTACATGAATTTTTGCTATCCAGTTCATAAAGTGGTTTACATTCCTTTACTGAATTTTCCAGCCTGGAGTCAAACATTTCTTAATGAAACATGCTGTGAATACTGCAGACCTACTTTGCACTGGCATTAAATCCTATTACTTTTCATTACCATAAAATATCTTAAAAATATACTTTTTATAACTTTTTAATTTTTCAGAATAATGAGCTAAAATTTGTATAGAAATTAACATAAGTGAAGTGAACACAAAACATTATTTTAATGTTTTTGTAATCTTGTTGCCAGTATAAAGCTTCAGGCGAGTGACACAGGGCCTGGATGGTACCTAATTTTGTGTTTGTGAAAACTCACAGATGTGAAGATCAGACAGTTCAGAATAACAGTGACTATCAAGCGGCAGTGAAGAGACTGATCCTGGCTGCTCGTATATCTGATCCAAAGCTTTTTCTTAAGCACATGACAATGAATGTTAATATGGAAGAAGTTTACAGCTTGGAGCGTACATCTGCTCTAAAATGGCTTCAGGAGAATATGAAATGGGCTGGGAAGGTATGGCTGTTTGACTAGTCATTAAATAGTAAAGACTTTGGGTTTTTAAGGGTTAAAGCAATCATTGCAAATAATACAAATTAGTAAAGGCAGTTCCCACTGTGTTCAGACTGTGCCTTACTGATTTACAGCAAGGCTTCAAACTCAAGGTGTATTTTTAAATACTTAAATTGACCATAGTGCAGACAGTAGCACAGAAAGAGTAATTTTTTCCCTAACTATATAGACTGTCACACTAACTGACTTAGATGTTTTGTAATGGCATCATTAGATAATGAGGAGGCTGCAGCCTCAGAACCTACATTCTCCTTTACAGAGAATCTAGCACTAACTGTTACTCTTCTCCCAGCAGGTGATAGCATATAAGTGCATTGACCGAGTGTATCTACTGTTCTTGAGTGAGACATTTTCCACATTGCTTCAGTCTGTAGAAGTAATACATGTTTCCTTTTGTCTTCCTCACAGTATCTTGTGAGGAGATTGTTTCATCTGTTTGCCCCTTAGATCTTAACTACTCCAAAAACCCAGTAAAAAAGCACCAAGAATAAAATAACTTCACAATCACTTGAGACATGCCTGACTTAGGATACCTTCCTTCACGGAACTGAGAGTCTACACAAGTTGCTCACAGCTGAAGGTTTAGTTGTGTCATGATAATAACTTGTATATGGCTTCACATTTGTATTTATGCATACTTCAACTGAAAAGGAAAACTTGGTTTCTCCCTTCTTAGAGGGAAGTGGTTTTGCCTGTTTTTTTAGTTTCTGCCAAACTGCACAATGAGATGGAGTCTTCTAGCAAGCTGGTTCTAGCATTCCTGGTTCTACAGGATTATTTTTTTTTTCCCTCTGCAAATCCTGAATCAGATTCAGAGCATATATTGCTTAAGTCACTCTTCATCTACTGATCTGGAGCCTGAGTAAGAACCAAACATTTCATATCAGAAAATTCTCATGGCAAATCAATGGGACCTCTGTCAAAGTTGATACTTGCCTGAGCTCCCCACTTCGGTAGTGTTAGTTTAGATCTCCAGTGCCAGCCTTCACAAACATGCCAATAATACAGCTCTTTTGGTCCTGCTCTCCATCCCCTGTAGAGCATTTTGTGCTGAAAATTTCTGCTCTCTTGAGTATAGAAGCTCATGTGGTTTTTAAGGCTGTTCCATCATAAGTGAGATCAAGATGGTGGTGTAAGCCTTCAATGTTTGAAAAATCTTTGCCTTTTTTGGGGCAGCATGAGTCTCTTCCCAGTTCCACTAGCTTTATTGCAGGTGTTCTTTGCACCTCTAAATCATGAAAGCCATCATGATCTTCGTGCTGGATGGTTGTGGAGGGTTTTGGAGGGGTGTCAGTGTTTTTTTTTGTTTGGGGAGGCTGTCACTCTAGTCTTGAGGTTCATGCCATTAATCTGATGTCATCAGTCTGATTGACATTTGTTAGATTCCTGACTGTTTTTATACCCCTGCTCATCCAGTCTGTCTGGGAGTTGCTACTGGAAGAGAGAGGATTTAATCTGATGACCACCAAGATCCTTGCCTTCCTCCTGTGCCACGTGTACAGAAAAATGCAAGGATAGAGGCTCATGTGTTTTCACAGGGTATCATTCTTCTGTAGGGATCTCATCTGCTTTCTTTCTAAAAAATGGTAGATTCAATACCAACAGTCAGATGTAATTTCTTTAAAAGCCCCTTACCTCAGAATTTCTCTTGAAGAACAGTTAGCACTAGTTCAAAAAGACTGCGGGTTCCACCACTTGGCATTCACCAAGACGGCTCTGCCATTTGTAAGGCTATCCATCTGGTCAAATCCAGTAGCATACCGCTGCTGTTGTTTCCCAGTAGCTGAAAGACTGGATAAGAAGTGATCAGGTTTCAGATGAGGGATCTACACTGATGTTCTTCCAGCCACTCCAGCGTTAGTGGCAAGAGCAATTTTGGAAGGTTTCAACAAACTAAAACTGGCAGTGAGAAACTAAGTCATTTTTGCTAATTACTTTTTGTAAGATCCTTTGTAGCTTAATCTCCCTTGGAATTGGACAGAGGCTATTTGAACCTCAGCTAAATCCCACATTTCTGTAAGCAGTACCAGATGTAGCTAATACTGTGTTTGAGAGACGCAGGACAAAACTCTTAGTAATCTATCTGTATGGCTTCAAAGCTTGGGATGTTCTAGAGACAGCATTATTTTTTCCATTATAAGCAACCTGGAATTTTCACTTAGATGATCCCCAGTAAAAAATTCCAAATGTTGCTTTATTTTCCAGACAGAGGTTAATCATTGGCCTTCTAGCTTAACTTGGAACTGTTAAGTGCTGTATTTCACATTTTTGTACTGTCTGGGTCCACTTGAAATACCATACAAATCTGGTCATTTTGATGTGTATCAAAACACCAGAAAGGTTTCTTGAGCAACATTTTGAGTATCATTTTGGTGACAGAAATTCCATGTGCTAAACAGGACAAAACTCCAATGTGGAATGGAAACAAGCCTGAAAAGATGAAAAAATGTTCCAAAGAATGAAGTTAAGTACAACAGAGATAAGGCAGTTTTGCAGAGCCAGCCACTCGGTAGACAATAGCCATATTTTTGCTTTTCCCCAGGTATAAGTTACTGTTTCTTATTATCTGAAAGAACTTCTGTGTTTGAGATTAAGCAACTCGTTTGATATATTTAATTTTTCATATAGGAAGTAAAATGTATGTTTACCATTTTGCAGAGAGAGAGAGAAAAATGTGTAAAAAACCTTTCTTGTGTTGCTTTCAGTAGGTGTAGACAGTTCTCCTTCAGTATGGTGTTAGGTGCATGAAAAGTTCTCTTTGTGAAAATCTTTCTTCTGTTTCCACTGATTACAAGGCATGCACTTGGAAAGATTACTTTTGTTAGATATGGACAGTTTCTTATAACTACAACAGCATAATGTTGTTTGGAAGACTTACCACAATTTTATTTCAAAGCATGGATAATTTTGAGAATTTCTTAACACATATCGGGGACAGAGATGAGAAGCTGGAAGTAGAAGCTTGATAGTTTTACAATGTTTTATAAAGAGCAATTGGGGGGATCATTTTGGAGGAGTTGTTAAGATGTTAATAAATGGGTTTTTATTCTTTATATGAAGTAGTCAAAATATCTGTGAGTCAGTATTGTCATTAAACTATGTAATTCCATTCAGATCCCTGCAATTAATATTATTAGGTATGCAAGAGGATGGGCAAATGGCAAAGTAGCCGTGGAGAGTTTAATATAACTGCTACAAGAGTCTAGAATATGATATGCTGCATGAGGAGGTTAAGAATGTGCACATAATGTAGCAAATACTCATTAATAACTTGGGCTGAAACTCCCGCCTATGGACATGGCCAGCTTCCAGATGTAACTACGAAATGTGTGTGCCGCTCTTGCTGAGCCAGTGAGATGTGTCCTGGGAACTGACAGGGAATATTGAGACCAGATACAGCCACAATACCACTCCCATTGAATATTTTGTTGATATCCATAAGCAATAAGTGCTTAGACCTTTAGCTAAAAAGTAGGAATTCACTCCCGTGCTCAGGGGGCACGGGGGAGTGGTGCTCTGGCTCTGTTTGAAGATACATACCCTACGCAATGGAGCTGGTATCTGTCAGTGTCACCTGATGATTACCTCTCCCTATTTATTTTATTCCTCACCGAGTTAAAGAAATCCCAGGTGAAATGAACAGCACACTTTTCTGTCGAATCAATTTTATTTTTCCATCTGCATGATTATGCAACCAGTTTGCTTACATAACTGATGGCTTCTATCAGGAAGCAAAAAACACACTGCAAATTATGGAAATTATGCAAATCCCTCAAGGGTTGTGGGAGTGTCAACTTGATTTAAAGCTTCACTTAATTACAGGTAGTTCACAAACCCTGTCGATCCTTTCTGCCTGGAAACGCAATAAATTCTATGCAAGTAACTCCAATCCCTAACAGTTCATCTCTCTGTTCTGAAACTCGTCAGCAATAGACATTTTTGCTCTAAGGTTGCATATCTCTGCATCAGTTGTTTCTTGACACCGTGGAAGAAAAACAGATGTGTAAATGTACGTATACGTTGAGCATTAGTGATTGCAGGAAGATAGCTTCTGCCTTTCCCCTTGGGACGGCAGGGCTCGCTGTTGGTTCTTTGCCCATTTTGTCTGCGGAACAAAGGGGATGTGAAGCACAGGGGAGCACCGGCATAGCCTTTCCCCTCCTCTTTGCACAGGAGCGGCCATTTCTTGGGTCGAGGATTGCCCCTGTATGTCCCCCAGTAACAGCCGCGGACACCCTCTGTGACTGGCAGCGGTGCTCACCGAAGCGGAAAGGCCCCGCTCCTCCGCCCCACAGGCCTGTGAGACCCGGCTGCGATACCCGCTGTCAGTCTCGCCATGGGGGCTGCAGTGCGTCACCCAGGGCAGCGGCCATACCTCAGGCATGGAATCAGCGCCTAGGATGTGTTTGTTTCACCTACTCAGCCGGTTCCCGACGCGAAACAGTTT